AGTGGAAATCTTTAATTAGTGGAAATCTGCCTTGGCCAGTGATGTCACTCCCACTGCTCAGACAGAGTGACACAATAGGACGCTGGCCAATGTATTCAAAACCCATGAGAGTAGTGTGCTCCTTTAAAATACTTGTTGCAGTAAGAAAGGCGTGAATAACACATGGCCAGTAGACCACATGCAGCCTTACTACCTGTTTTTCTTGAACTCCTGTCCAGTACAAATACGTTTTATCATATATTGGCCAGGATCCTGTTACAAAATATTGCATGTAAAAGGCAGATTGTACAAGCACTTTCCACAATATGATGGCAGGCTATCATGCACCCAGGTATGCAAACAAGTGTGTGTCCTGGGTTATGTTCAACCATGTAACAGGCAACCAGAATGATTGCACACATTAGTAAAATAATTTGCAGTTTACACTGTGCAAACTCATTAAGATTCTGGACATATTTAAATATGTTGAACTGTTTGTTGGCTGACTCATCTTGCTGCTTTTTATGAATGTTCTAATTCCTCTAAATCTGATGACAGCACAACACTGTCAACAATACAGTTTCTTAGAGGAGAATGAAACACATTCAAAAGATCACTGGAAACAGAAGAAGTTATGTATTACTGGCACAAATGAAACCTAGCAAGAAGCCAGCTTACAGGAAAAATAACAGCTAAACAGGAGAACAGAAAGAGAAAAATAATCCTGAAACAGGATACCTTAAGGAAAAGAGGAGAAGCTGACGATGGACTGAACTAGGAACCAAAGAAAATGATTGGTGAAGGCAAGAACTGAAATGCTCAAGGGAGAAATCTTACTTAAAGTCAGGAAAAGGATGGACTGAGTGATTTGCAGCAGGAATGTACTGGGAAAGTAGTTCAGAGAATTAAGAGACAGATCAAGGAACCAAAAGTACAGAGGTCAACAAGGCTGAAAAACACTCGTTTCACTGACAGACCTTTAGGATATGTCGTCTGTGGGCAAGTCCATAGCACAGTGGTAGAACATACACTTTGCATGCAAAAGGCCTCATAATCTAATCCTAGCATTTGAGGGAAGTGTGTGGAGAGCCACTGTCCACTAGTGTAGACAGTATTGAGCGAGATAGATCAGTAGGTTGTTGTGGGTTTTTCGGGCTTCTTGGCCGTGTTCTGAAGGTGGTTTTTCCTAACGTTTCACCAGTCTCTGTGGCTGGCATCTTCAGAGGACAGCAAACTGTGCTCTTGTTGCATCTTCAGAGGACAGCACAGTTTGCTGTCCTCTGAAGATGCCGGCCACAGAGACTGGTGAAACGTTAGGAAAAACCACCTTCAGAACACGGCCAAGAAGCCCAAAAAACCCACAACAACCATTAGATCCCGGCCGTGAAAGCCTTCGCGAATACATAGATCAGTAGCCTGACTCTGTGTGACACTCCTTTTGTTCTTATGAATAAATGTTGGAAGAATATCTCATGTACTGTATATTTTATGCACTTCTGTGGAAGCTTCCCAGGAGAAATCACACAATGGATCCAGGAGGTCAGTACTATATAAACATTAAATTTCAGAAGAAGCCAATTTACTATAAGACTTTACATTACAGTATTATGGAGTGAGTGAAGATACACTCATTATTTGGCAACAACACTTTCTTATTTTACATAGCTACAACCACCAAGCAAAATATTATCTGTGCTTTGTGGATGATGCTGAAAAGGAGAGTTCTTAGCAGAGGTCACCCTGTCAGACTATTATTTGGCTACACCCTTCTAAATCCAAGTCTAATACTGCTAGAAAGAAGTGTCACACACACAAAAATAGAATTAACATCTCAAAACAAAGCAAATAGAATTAACATCTCAGCTTTGCTTTGCTTTCTTCACTCACAAGCCAAAAATTGTGGTTGCTACTGTTACCACAGCAACGATGAATTTAATTCTGGCAAGCTGCCTCCCACAAGCAGCTGTTCTACTCTGCTCTTATTTAAAAACAAAACAAAAAAGAGTCTGGTAGGATTTCCCTTATTGGGCTGCGTTTTTGTGTTCTGTGCTGTCAAGTCGAAACTGAATTATAGCAATCCTCATAGCCCTTTCAAGGTAACTGAAATATTTTAAAGAGTGGTTTTACCAGTTCCACTCCCTCAGTAAGTTTCCATGGCTAAGCAGGGATTCAAGCACTGGTCTCCAGAGTCCTAGTCCAACACTCTATCCTCTATACCACACTGGGAATTCAGTGGACTAGTAAGATAATTTTTCCATGGTACCAGTCTTCCACTGACAGAGGGTGCTTTTAGACAGTACATAGAACTATCATTCACAAAAAAGTGCATTTCTGTATTTCCCTTGGGCACTGTCTGGAGGTCGTTCTGCAATGGATGCAGTTGAATGGACTAAGGTTGAACACGGACAAGACGGACGTCCAGCGAGTGGGTGGCCCCGATGTCAGTGGTTTGGGGAACTCCCTCTCTTTTTTTGGGTGGATGACTCTCACCACAAAGAATTCAGTCTTACCCGATGCTTACCATGGAGACCCAGGTAGCGTCCATGGTTCAGTCTGCCCACTTACACCTTCGGCGGATCGCATAGCTGTGTCCCTATCTAGACACAGGGGCGCTCACCATGCTGGTCCATGCACTCATAGTCTCAAGAATAGACTATTGTAACACTTTCTACGTGGGGCTTCCTTTGAAACTGATGTGGAAGCTTCAGATGGTCCAGAACACGGCAGCCAGGCTATTAACAGGGGTGAAAAGATTCTGCCATATTTCCCCACCTTGGCCGCCTTACACTGGCTACCTATCCGCTTCTGCATTGATTTCAAGGTGCTAATTATTACATATAAAGCCCTTAACGGTTTAGGACCTCAATACCTGGCAGAGCGCCTTCTTCCGCCCAGTTCTACCTGTATCACCTGCTCCAGTCAGGCCGGGTGGCTGAGGGGCCTAACACCATGAGAGGCCTGGTGGGAAAAAACTAGAAATCAGGCCTTCTAGGCAGTGATCCCACGCCTTTGGAACATCTTACCTGTTGAGATCCGCCTGGCTCCCTCATTGAAGGCCTTCAAGACTAACCTGAAGACATGGATATACAGGCAGGCCTTCCCTACAGCCATTACCTAGCCTATCTCCCCTTTTCTTTTCTTTTTTCCTCTCCTCCTTTTTCTTCTTCTTCTTTTTTCTTTCCCATCTTGGATTAATCTGGATTTCATCTTAGTTTATTTTTATACTATATTTAAACTGCCCAGAGTAGACACGTTCTAGATGGACAGTATATAAATAAATCAAATAATATTTTCCTCTTAATGGACTGTTTACAGAAAGGGAAAAAAGGATAAAAGAAAGTATGGGAAAACACAGGAGAAGTCACATTATGATTTGTTAATTTTTAAGGTGCCATAAGATTTTTTGCAGTTCTGGCTGTAACAGACTAACAAGACTACCCCTCTGGAAATGGTGAGAATATAAACTACAGAGTTTATATGCCAAGACTGGAAGAAACCTAAAATCTGCAGACAGATTATTAATTGGTTTTTAAGCCTTGGTCTTCAACATAGGTTCCTACTGAGCTACGCTCAGGTCCAGATTAAGGCCCATTTAGGTGCCGAGCACAAAGAAATGGCCTGTTTAATTAAGGGTTGGGAAGAAGTTGGAAGTTGGGGTGAGGAAAGACTTTTTGCACTGGAGTTGGGAAAAACTAGCACTTTTGTTGTTGTTTCAGCAAGAGACACCATGTTCCCAGCTCTGTGCAGGGAATAGGTTATTCTTTAAAACAAAAGTGCAAGCAATTGGCAGAGAGAAGCCTTGCCATCTCTACTTTTTCTCTCAAATTCTGGACTATGCTGTGCATGAGCAAGCGAGAGACACAGTGTTCCACTAAGGCTTCACTTGCTTAGTGCAAACAAAAAAACATCTCAGTTATGATCAGAGATACTTTTAGTATACAGTATTCTTATTAGTCTCTCAGAGATTATGTTTGCCTACCAAACCTAGCTGATATCTGTCAATCCCTGGTTACAATATTACTCTTTCTTCCTTGATGTATCCTGTAGAACAGGGGTTCCCAACCCCCAGTCCGCAAACTGGTCCCAGTCCGTGGCCTTGCCAGGATTGGGCCGTGGAGACAAATCTTCTGGCCCCCCCACATGTGCAGACTCATGCACACGCCTCCCACGCATGCATGCCCCCTCCCATGCCCATACAGCCCCTCCCACGGCCGATACCATGCACCCATGGAACACACACACACCGCACACTAAACTGATCCATGGAGGCAAAAAGGTTGGGAACCACTGCTGTAGAAGTAAAGCATTCATCTACAACAGATCAAACTAGACCGCATGTGGATCAAATACATTTCACATAAAAGTTTCCTTTGTCTCGCAACCCTTCTCAAAAAGAACACAGATTGGAATGATTAATTATTTCTAGGGAATATCACTGAGCAGGGAATACTACACGCATTCCTCTATTACTCTTGTCTCATTTCATTTCATTTTATCCAATTGACAAACGAACAACATTTTTATTATTATTTATTATATTTATACACCACATTTCAACTACTAGGTGGTGTTCAAGGCAGCTTAAAATCACAATACACAGTAAAAATAAAAATAGACACAGATTTAGATTTTTTCCCCTCAAAGTGCTTAAAAGGACAACAGTCCTGATCTTATTTGGATATGGTCGTGCTAAAGAGAGGAGATGAAAGACTGGCATACATAGCTTTTTAACAAATAGAAAGAGATCATGTGTTGTGCTGAGGTTCACGATGGATCCTGAATTTGAAAAGGCCACAGACTACTGGGATCAAAGATGTCAGGATGTGGATGGAAATTAAGGTAGTAACTACAGTACTTTGATGAATGGGATAGAATTTCTATCACCACAGAAATAAAAGATTATTTAATAAGAATAAGAAAGCCAACTTAGGATCTCTGATGTGCCTGATTCTCTGCCTTTTTAACAGACCTGGTGTTCACAACATGACACAGATGTATTTCCAGTAGCCTCCATTTCTTACCAAAAAGAAGTGGTTTCAAGCTGAGTGTTTTCATAAAATGGACTTTGTTAGGAACCAGCTCTACCTTCTGTTTATGGCCAACCTAGAAAAGAAGGTAAAATGAATTAACTACCATATATACAGTACTAAGCACAGACAGCCTCACTATATCGAATAGCTATCTTGTGTATCCAAGAACTGCTGAAGAAATTTAGAGTTCAAATACAGTACTGTGGTTCTGGTCCACCTAGAAATCGCCACCCATCATTCAGTTTAAACTAAATTTCAGAACTAATTTTTCTGGACAGGCCAGCACTACTATTTGCTTCTAGCATTCCAGAGATGCAATGTTTTCAAGCTCATACTAAAAAACATCATCTTGAAGAATGGCATGGCAAACTCTGAGACCCCAAACAGCACAAAGCTCCCTTATGTAGTTCCAACTTAAATGAGATATACTGTTCTTTCTTTCTTTCTTTCTTTCTTTCTTTCTTTCTTTCTTTCTTTCTTTCTTTCTTTCTTTCTTTCTTTCTTTCTTTCTTTCTCACCTTGCTTCTGGAACTGGGACTTAGGGCAGCTTATAGAACAGTTAAAAACCTGTAGAAATTTAAAATACACTAGAATTACAAATGTTAAATAAGATTAAATTCATTCTAATAGTAATATTAAAACAGATATACTTTAAATTATTTAATAAAAATACTAATACACGTTTGTCCTTAAAAAGAGGGCCAGCATATCATGAGAGAGTTAATTTCCAAAATTGCCTCAATAAATTTTTTTGTCTGCTGGAAGGAAGCAGGCCAAACTGGCCTCTTTTGGCAAGGAGTTCCAGAATCTGGGCATAGTCACCAAGAAGGCCTCTCGCAGGTCCTGTACAAAGGGACCCTCCAGTTGATATCAGTGCCCAGGTAGGCTCATATGGGATGATATGGTCTTTCAGACAGTCTGGGCTCCAGTCGTAGAGCTTTGTAAGTCATGACCAGCACTCTGACTTGTGCTCAGAAACAGACCAGTAGTCATGGCAGTTATAAGAAATGGAGTTACATTCTCCCTATAACTGCCCTGTTTCCCTGATAAGCCCTAGTATGATTTTTCAGAATGCTCGTAATATAAGCGCTACCCCAAAAATATGCCCCAGTGTTGCTCTGGTCGGCAATTTGGCTGCACAATTTTGAACTAGTTGAAGTTTCTTTACAGTAATCAAGTTGGGATGTAACTAAGAGGTGTCACTGTAACCAAGTCAGACATCACCAGGAATAGGTGCAATTGGCACTAGTTTTAGCCACCCAAATACACTTCTGGCCACCACTGAGGCCAGGAGTGTGTTTGCATAGAGACCAGGGGTGCACCAGCACTACCAGTCAAAAGACACTATGCACCTTTTTCATATTTTCTTAATGAACGAAAAAGGGGGGGGGGACAAAGAAGATTTTAATTGAAATAACATCAACTGTGAGTCCTGATGGCAATTTTAATTGTATTTTAATCATTTTATCCTTTATTGTATTTTAATTGAATTTTAATTGCTGAAAGCCGCCCAGAGAACTTTGGGTAGAGGGGGCGGCATATAAGTTAAATAAATAAATAAATAAATAAACCAGGGAAATATACAAAGATTACAAATACTGTACAAGTTGGTACTGAATTCTATGACTGAGACGCAACACTTGTAAGATAAAAATCTTATCTGGAAGCAGCCCACAGTATCTGAAGCATCCAATTTACTCAAACCACACTTTTCTCTCTCTCTTTTTTTTAACAAATAGAGCATAAGAGATTTTTATCTGGACAGGGTATTTGCAGGGGCCGGGGCCTCCTGCAGAAAAATCCCAAGCACGGGACTACCTGCACTTAAAACCCTTTGGAGTGCATAAACCATTTTATTTGTAAGCGGGGAAAGGGTTCTGCCCTGTACACAATTAAGAGCACCTCTCGTTTGAGGGGAAGCTAGCGACGGCGGGGCAAGTTTTGGGAAAAGGCTCTCGCCGCCTCGTCACGTCGTCGCCCCCCCTCAGGGCTGCTCTCGAAGGGCGGCTAGAAGAGAAGGGAGTCGCAAGCCTCAGGGAGGGATTTTTATTTCAGACATAGACATCACACACCCCCCCCCAAAAAAAGGCCAAAAACTCTGGGTAAAGGCGATCCAGGAGCCTTTATGCACATGCAAAGGGAGCCTGGTCAGCTTAGCTGCCACCTTTTATCTTTTGGGAGGAGCGGGGAAGAAAAGAAAGGGGGAGGGGGGGAGGGCTGGGCGGTTTGCCCTGCTCTTCTGGGCTCTTCTCCCCGACGCGTGCTTGCCTTGATGCCCTCCAAGCGAGGCAGGGCGTGAGGGTAAGAGCTGCCCGGAGGATAGGGCACCGCCAGCGGTTCCTGAGCGGGGCTCGGGGTCTCTTTCCCCGCCTCGGGGTCTCCGCCGTCATCGGAGCTGATGTGCACGAAGAGGAGCAAGCCCAATACGTTGAGCACGTAGAGATGCGCGAAAACCATCAGCACCACGAAGTACGGTCGGGAGCAGACGGCTCGCCGCCCTAAAGAAGGCCCCGGCAGCGACGGGCCGTCGTCGTCGTCCTGTCCTGCCGTGGCCGCAGCGACAGCTGCCCCGGCCGCGGCAGCCATCCTAGGCCCGGCCCGGTTCGGCCTTAAGCGACGGGCCGTTACCACGGCAACCGCCCCGCGAACCGCGCGCGCGCCTAGACGTCCCTCGGAATGCACCTCACGCGCCGCAGGGGGACTCTCGTTGCGTCATCACGCAGAGGGGGGGGAGAGAGAGAGAGTCGCCTTAGCGGGAAAGAGAGGAAACGGGTCGACGGGCGCGAGGGGAATAAGGAAGGAGAGAAAAGAAAAGACAAGCCGGCCAGCTTCCCATTTGACAAATATTCTAACCGTACTTTGCCTGGAGGCTGGGGAAAGCAAACACTTTGGGATCCTGGCAATTCCCCCTCCCCATGGCACGGTAAGGGGAAGCCATTGTGAGAGAGGGCATCCACTAGCCTCCTGCGCATGCTTTCTGGGAGGAGCCATATTTAATAAGGGCAAAGGGAGGTTAGGAACGTAGTTGGTTTATAAGCAGTGGGTGGGAGGATTCTTGGAGCACCTAATTGATTAGACGGTCACTTTCAATGGATGCACCGCATCAAAGCAATGTGCATTACAGCACTCTGGGATCTCAGACTGGCACCTTCAGAGGTGGGATTCAGCAGGTTCTCACCAAATACAGTACAATTAGAATTGAAAATCATGGATTTCCCTTTCAACATAATGTACTTTTGACATTCATGTAGTCCAGTGGTTCTTAACCTTTGTTACTCGGATGTTTTTGAACTGCAACTCCCAGAAACCCCAGCCAGCACAGTTGGTGGTGAAGGCTTCTGGGAGTTGCAGTCCAAAACTCCTGAGTAACCCAAGGTTAAGAATCAGCGATGTAGTCTAGCATGTTGGGCGTCTGCCTTAAACACACCTTGAGCTGGTAAATAAAAACCCAAATTGTGTGTATAGTATATTGTGTGTCTTCAAGTTACAACCAGCTTGCAGTGACCCTAATATGGTTTTCAAGGTATGTGAGATATAGAATGGTTTTTCCAGTTCCACCTCCCCCCTTTCCATGGCCACATGGAAAGTTGAGTAAAAGAGTGTAAAAAAGGTAAAGGTTCCCCTTGACATTTTCAGTCCAGTCGTGTCCGACTTTAGGGGGTGGTGCTCATCCTGTTTTCAAATCGTAGAGCCAACGCTTGTCCGAAGACAAGTTTCCGTTGTCACGTGGCTAGTGTGACTAGGGAATGCTGTTTTTACCTTCCCACTGAGGTGGTACCTATTTATCTACTCACATTTGCATGCTTTTAAACTGCTAGGTTGGCAAGGAGCTGGGACAAAGCGACGGGAGCTCACTCCGTTGCGTGGATTTGATCTTACGACTGCTTGGTCTTCTGACCCTGCAGCACAGGCTTCTGCGGTTTAGCCCACAGCGCCACCACGTCCCTAAGCTAACATTCAATTTTTTTGCACCTTGGGAAGCCAAGTTTTGCCCAACTTTCTATGCTTGTGATTCCTTCTCTTAACTTTCTGGGAGCCTACCACTAAATTTGTGCTCCACAGTTTACCAACTCCCATTTTCTGATCAAGCCTTAAAAAAAAGAAAAAAAGAGAGAGAAAGTTAAGATATGGGATCTTGAAGTACATGGGATTAAGAGGCAGTATAAGCAAAAAAAAAATGCAAGAAAAAAGGAGCAGATAAATATCAAGAGAGCTTAGATGCATAGTTTCACTGTCCAAAACTGGGTCTATATATGAAAGGACAAGATTTGTAGACAGATTATTTCCAAAGCAACTGCTTTGAAAGAGTTATTATTTTTCACAAAATTAATTTATATTTATAATCCACCCAATAACTAACGTTTCCAGGGTGGATTATATACACACAGAGCAATATAACAGCTAGAGGTAGAGCACACAATCATGGCACAGCTAAAAATGCAGATTGTTTGCAGGTGAAACAGATTTCATTTAAAAAAACTTAATTCCACTCATCAGATGTATGCTAACCTGAAGAAATTTTCTTGCCCACACCCCATTCATTTTTCTTAACAGTTTTATCAACAAGAATAGAATAAAGACAAAACACATCTTTAAAATTAGAAATTCACAATTTATTTCAAATAAACAATTTCAGGAAGGGAAACTTCAAAGGTTTTTTTTTTGCCCTTTGTCCCTTCCCAATCTAATGCGGGAAAAGTGTTGGCAGTTTCTTGAGATTGCTTCCTCCCTCCCCATACTGCAGTGAGGGACAGAGCAAAGGCAGCCATGATAATGTAGCACTCTGCGTAATTTAAAAAAAGCTCCCATAGCAGAAGCTACTACCTGAAAACTTGGAACAGTCCAGACTTGAGTGAGCATGTAGGAGTTTTCTTAGAAAAAGCTATTAAGAAATGAAACTGATTTAAAAAAAAAAAGCTTTAAATGAATTGAGACAGTGCAGCGATAGGGATAGAGTCTCTGTTTTTTCCTGTAGCAGGAGCATGGCACGAAGATGACACTCAGTTTCAGGTTGTCGACAGAAAAACTCCTGGCTGCTGCTACAAAGTAAGGAGTGCTCGAAGACCACCAAAAAAACCCAAAACATAAAAAAAACCTGATTAGAGGGTCTCTCTCCTAATTGTACAATCTCGATACCTGCGTGCAAGCTTTTTGAGTTACAGAATTCTCCTGGCCAGGAAAACCTGGCATAACTTGAATATCTATAGTATTCACAATCAGGAGTAGGTGCAAAAATATTGCCTTTGCTGTTCTGTATCTCTTTCTAAGAGAACAGAGACAGGTAATACTAGATGTTTTATTAAAATAAAATAAGCATTATTGGAGATAAAGGTGAGCCAAGCCAAAATTTTAAAAAAAAGCAGAGTGAAGGATGAAAATAGCTGCCAGGTTGGCTCAGGCTCAAATCTTGCAGAAAAAGAGGAAGACGTGAGCTCCCAGTAAAGGATGTTAACCTGAAATGGGGGGAGTTTAATACAACAACCAGGGCTGGGGAACATGTGGCACTCTACAAAGTTATTGGATTACAACTCCCATCAGCCCTAGAACAGCAAAGAGAGAGCGATGAAGGGTGTTGCCATTCAACATCTGGAAGATCATATATTCACCCGCTCCTATACACGGAGTTCAGATGCCATCAGTTCTTACCACAGACTTGCTAACCCCAAACAGCTTGCTCTGGCATGCAGGGATTTAAGAAAAGAAGGCGTACTTTTTATTCTGGGACCATCACTATGGTGAATAAAAACACCACTGTATTTTTCCAGCATGAAACCAGTATATGTTCCTAGAGCACAGCCTATTCCCATCAGTTAAAAAAAAACAAGACAAAAAACCCTCTGGAGCAATGCCTGAGCATTATGCACTTGCAGAATATGGAAGAAAAAAAAAAGAGAAATATTCTACAGATCCATAAACTCTGGGACACAGATGAATGCCACCAGTTCCAAAACTGGCTGCAGTTATTATGGTGAAATCCAATTGTATCCATCCAACAATGGAACAGAATGAAAACCCTGAGCCACCACAGCCCCTCAACATTCCCCAAATGGAAATCCTTCCAAGCAAATTTGGTGGTAGGTGGGAAGTTGTGAGGGAGAAGAAGGCAAGGCAGTCCACTTGCACAATGCTAGAAGGAGCCCTAAGTGATACAATACTATCTTATGCAGTCTATAATGTGATGCCAGCTGTTTGATCTGATTGCTAAATCATGGAGGCTACAAGCTTAGAAACTCAGTTTGGCATTGGAGGTTGTAAGGATGCTGCCATCACATTCAACCAGCTCAGAAGTGTTTTGCTAGATGTAGTGCAAGTCACACATCTCTCCCTTTTGCAGTGGACAGTTCCGTACATGTATTCCTGAATTCAGTAAATTCAACAAGCCAGACATCTCAGCCTAATTTTAAGTTAAAATCAACTCCTTCAAAGACTGCACATCATGTACGCAAGCAAGGAAGTCAGGTAAGTGTTTTAACAGCAGAAATTACTTCTCCCTATTCAGAGGTTGATCTTTATCCAACTGCAGCTGGGTCAACTAAATAATCCTGTGCTTGCACTTCATGTACTACACCTCATCAAAAGAATGACAGAATGAATGCTAATGTATCCTGTAGATAATTAAAGTCACACACAAGCTGAACTTTTTTGTACTTGCCAAACAATGTTGGCTCTTTCTATATATCAAGGCCCAGATGTGGACTTCATGCAGAAATTGAAACATTTATAGTCAAAAGAACACAATCACATGATCTCTGCTTACATCAGATAGACATGGGTTAAAGGAGCAAGGCTGATGAGGTCATCATGCTGTATCAGCTACAAGAGAACTATAAAAGACTAATAGAATGGGGAAGAATGAATGGAGCCAGGAAGCAAGAGAAATGAAGGGGGAAGAAGTCTCTCCTCTTCTTTTAGGCAATTAAACTTAGCCTACTAACTTCTTCCCTACTTATTAAATCTGCAGTTAATAGACCACAGGATATGGAGACAATCATATAGGACACATAGCAAGCAAATGGTGGTTATAATATTTTCCGTTGGAGTGCCTGAGGTAGTAGTAGCAGCAGCTGAAGGGAGAAGCGGGTGGCATGGCAGATGAGCTAGGAAATAAAGGTCAATCACTGATAAAATAGTTCCCACTAAAAGACCAGAAAGGCAGGGAGAAAAAGTAGAAAATAATGATCCTAATCAACCCTTCTTATCCAAATCCAAAAATGCACAAAGGAAAGCTCAGTGCAACTTTTTTTTTGTAAATAAAGTGGCAAGGATGTTCTCGTTTCAAATCTGCAATCAAAACAAGTTCAGGAGAAAGGCAATGGATCTCTCTTCCTCCAAGCAGATGATTAACATAATCAGGTATATTCCTCACATAGCTAACATGGCAGTGTCTGTACATCAGTTGTTCAGATATCCTCTAGCATAAATGGAAGAAAATCTGCCATCAAAACTAGTGTCAAGCCCCTTGCCAATAATAAGCCATTATGAACATTAAGGTTAAATGTGTACTACTTTCCTCAAATCTACTGGCTGCTTTTCAGCCAATGCTAGAGTAGTTTCTAGGAGAGTGGTACACATTTACCATTGGAACTTGTTTCCAAGGTCTTCTCTTAAGCTGCCAGGTTTTTTTTTAATCAAGCATTGTGATAAGTGCAACAGCTTTCCCTCAATACACAGCAGGGAAGGCTAGCCTTGCCCAAACGAGGAGGAATGAACTTGATGTACTGCCTTACAGCCATGCAAAGGTTGTGCATGACTGAGTTCCACAGATAAAGCAAGGCGTGGACGGAACGTGGCTCATTCTATAACCTCCTCGCAAAGATACAAATCCTGTAGTCTTGCTACCAAGAAGTGAGGTTGTACCCACATAACTATTCAAGTATTTTATTTCTGGCAGAAGAGAAGATTCCAAAAGAAACAAAGGAAAGCAACAAATCCATGCAGGAGATCGGCTCAAGCTGATGGAACAGTAGGAATGGAGCCATTTCCCATGCTGCCTCGAGCTTTGCCCTCCTGCTGCTGCAGAGCTGGAGAAGAGCAGAACAGCAATATGCTGATCCTGGCCACTGCTGATGTCCCTTGGCCTAGGCACTGTTCATCTCGCACAGTCACAGGGCAAGCAATACATAAAAAAGTGCACGTAAGGGGTGCGAACAGACAACTGGACTGTTTCATAACCTTCAGTGCAAAGAGGGTTTAGGGGAAGTAGAAGAAAAGAAGAGAAGCAGCCACTAAGTTTGCAAGCAGCTTATTAAAAAGGAAACACACTCCAATTTCGATTTATTTTTTAAAAAGGGGGGGTTGTGTTATTCTAAGGTTTCTTTTGTATAATTGTACAACCGTTGAAAATTACACAAGTTTGTAATGATCTAATACTATTAAAAGCCATTCAGGGGAAAAAAAACCAGAACTCCCTCCCAGAACAATCCAAGAGCTGGGGAGGAAAAAGTCACAGGAAAAGGTGCCAATCTGAACTCCAGCCTCTTAAGCCCGGCAAAAATGAAAAGCGGAAAGAGAGGAGAAAAAAACAGAAGACTAAACTGTGGTGCTAGCTCGTTTCTGGATTGCATGGGGAGGGTGAAGTGTTGTCCTCAGCCCTTCTCTGTGAGAGGGGGCGATGGGTGGCCAGTTTCTCATGTTGCTTCCATTGCCGCTGTCCCCGCCGTCTTGCTCTTTGCTCTTACCCCTGCACCTGGACTAACTCCTGTTACTTTATGTGTCATGGAAGTCTTTCAGCAGGGTCCTCCTCCTCTGTTCAGCTATGTGCATCTGATTCTCCAAGTCCTCAGCAAAGAGAGAAAGAAACGACAAAATCAGGTTCATCTCTACATTGAGTGAACAGAAAAACTGGCTGATGCCAGACTAAATCAGCACATCAGATGGGGAGAACCTCAAGAATCAAAAGTGGACATTTAAAAGGTAAAAGTACCCCTTGACAATTTTTGGCCTCAAGAAATGAAAGTGGACATTTAAAAGGTAAAGGTTCCCCTTGGCAATTTTTGTAAAGTCGTGTTCGACTCTAGGGGGCGGTGCTCATCCCCGTTTCCAAGCCATAGAGCCAGCGTTTTGTCCGAAGACAATTTTCCGTGGTCACATGGCCAGTGCGACTTAGACACAGAAGGCTGTTACCTTCCCATCGAGGTGGTCCCTATTTATCTACTTGCATTTGCATGCTTTCGAACCGCTAGGTTGACGGGAGCTGGGACAAAGCGACGGGTGCTCACTCCGTCGCATGGATTCGATCTTACGACTGCTGGTCTTCTGACCCTGCAGCACAGGCTTCTGCGGTTTGGCCCGCAGCGCCACCACGCAGCGCCACCAAGGGGACATTATTATGCACTAATACATGGACTACACAGACATAGTTATGATTCTGATCACAACTCCATCTGAAGCAATTTCCCCATCAAAATCCATGCAAGAGTGGGTGGAGTTTAGTTTAGGGAACCAGCTAGATATGTGCACATTTGTGTTGTGGACTGCAACTTCTAGAATTGCCCAACAGAATTCTGGAAGGTAGTACCTGCGGAATTCTGGGAGTTGTAGTCCAACACAAATGTGCACATGTCAAGAACCTAGCTAGTGATTTCTCACATACTGAATCCAATACGTCTTCAAGTAATGATACCAAGTGATGAATATGCCATCTTAAAGATGGATACCAAGCTTCCATAGTTGTGATGGGCAAAATAGCAGAGGTGGGCAAATCCCAGTTTGCCCCCTCAACTGAGCCAGTCTCCATCAAAGCTCCTAACAGCAAAACATGGTTTTGTCCCAAAATGCAACTTGTGTTCCCACAGCCCTTTAAGGATGAAATCACAGTAGTGCAGCTCGCTCACCCCACCTACTATGTTAGACCTTAAAAAACATTTTTTAACAACTGGCTGTAGTTTACCAGTTACATTTTTTTCTGTTTTAAAGCTTAAAATAGGCCCCTGTTGAGTTGAACCAGTATATTGCAAATTATTGGGAACACCAAAAAATGGTCACTGGGATCCTGTAAGATTCCTGTTTCTATTCTGCAAGGATCCGTAGCTGGTGAAGCTTAAAATTCATCTCTGATTTAAACAAAAAAGTAACACAGATTGAATTTCTAGCATTGTGCTTTCCAGGATCAATACCTGAAATGCAAGGCATGTTTCTGCTAACTATGAAAAGCTGAAGGTGTCAAAGTGAGTACTTCACAGCAGCAGTCATCAAGCCTCCTCAAGCTCTCCTTTACAGAAAGTGAGCTCATTAACAACACGGTAGGAGATTGGGCAAAGCTTGTTACTCACTCCTCTGTCATAACTGTCGGCTCTTTCCACTTTCCATGAGAGATTTTCAATTTCTGCTTCCAGCTGAGCCTGCTGGTATTCAAACTGAAAAAAACAAAAAACAAAACCTGACAACATGCAAAGCAGAATGAAAAACATAGGGGAAGGAGTGCTTCTTAGCCCATCCCGGATCTGCTGCTCTGAGCGTATTGGATGGAAATTGATGTATAAAACATATTTAAACTGTACTTCACGAATGTGCCAGCATCAGGATGACTTCACTGAGTCCAAACTTCAGCAGGTTCAAACCGCTGCAGCCAGACTGCTAACTGGGGCTGGTCACAGGGATCTCATAACTCTTGTGTTACAGCACTGGTCGCTGATCCAGTTCTGGGCACAAAAAGTTCGTTTTAACCTATAAAACCTAATGGCTGGGGTCTAAGGACTGCATCTCCCTTTATGAGCCTACTCAGCTGTTAAGATAAAGAGAGGAGGCCTTTCTCTCAGCCCCACCACCTTCACAGATGTGTTTGGTGGGGCCATGATAGAGGGCTTTCTTTATCATTGCACCCACACTCTGGAACTCCCTCCTGCAAGAGGCCAAGCTGGCCCCCACCTTTGCTGTTCTTCCACAAGTGGATAAAGACCTTTCTCCTCAAACAGGCTTTCCCTTTAATGACTGGCTATCTGAGATGGGTTTTTAAATAGACTGAGGTGCCTGGTTGCTTTTGAATCTGTTCTTGGTGCTGATTTTGTTTATT